TCATTTACAATTTCATTTGTTTTAAAATTGTATTAGTTTGATTTGATATAACACTGATTTCGTTGTTGTCTTGGGTGACATCTGTGAAAAAAAAAATCAGGTGCTCAGGCATGAAAATGTGCCGCTCAAACACTATACTTTTCCGTCCACACTGAAAAAATATTAGAGGGAACATTGCTGATAAGATGTGGTCTTCCTAATCTTAGGTACAAAACATATGTCTATTTTGTGTTTTATAGTTCACTGGGTTGAATTGTTGTTTAAAAATAAACTGATCTTATATAAAAATATTGCAGCTATATATTAAAATCAAGATATCAAGATTGCCTTGCCTGATACATTACATAAAATACCTTCATTGCCATGAGTTCCTGCATAAGTACAGCGTTTTCTAGATCCAATCTTTGGCTGTCTCCACGAGGCTTGACATCATAATTGAGGGGGTCAATATGGATACTCTCCAGCTCCAGCATGGTTAATTTAATAGCTGCTCTATCATTTTTTAGCTGTTGGATGTAGTCCTTCAATCTCTGTTCATCCTCCTTTGTGAACTCTGTATCACAGCTGCTTGCTGTTGAACTAGTAGTACTTAGAAAAAAAGGGAAAGCACATTTAGGAAAGATAAGTCTAATGTGTGCATAAAAATAAAAGAAATAACAAAAACATGTATCTGTGTACTACAAATATTGATAAATTGCTTTTTCAGTAAAACAGTGTTAGAGTCAATGAATAACTTAATTGATGGTTTAAGATTTTTGGAATGATTTTTAAGTTAGATTACACAAAAGTGGGCTTGATAGAATATTTGCCAAAAGAGAAACCAAGCAGGTTATCACTTCGTCATCTTTAAGTACATGCTATAATCAGTATGACCTGTACTCCGATATGATCTAAAGCCAGAAATATTTGATTTTCACATTTTATAATTGTAATTTATTATTTTATTAATATCCTGCCTTTAGCTACATAAGCCCACTGTCAATTTTTATGCAATATTATTATCCCAAATTAGAACACTCAAACAATCTTATCCTGATTGTGCATGTTATGATTTTAAATAAATGTTTATATGTTCCAGAATTTCTAGATAACTGTTATTTCTCAGTTATTTGCCTTTCTAGTCATCCAAGAAAAAAAGATTTGTAGAGGTTAATTGTGATTCTTCTATTCATTCCTTAACATTCACTGTTAAACATAATTATACTGTCACCAAAGAGACAGAAACAATTCCACATTTTCTACAAGCTTGTGCAGAAACTATGTTGTCTCCTGAGGACCTGTAATCAGCTGATGGGTAAGGGTTAAGTCATCCATTAGCTCTGCCTGTCTGGAATGCTGAATGATCTCAGTTATCAGCAAGGGAATAAATCATTTTCTGCACTGGGCTGCAATATTCTTCCATCCATTTTAGACAAAGAGAAGGAAGATAGACATACCACATGAACAGTTTCTGTAGCCATATTTAACATGACTTTATAGTCTCTTTTTCATTCCATTAAACTCAAAACTGTCTTTATATTTTAAAGAAGTTATCAAATAAACAGCTTGCCAGTCTTCTAAAGATTTCCAAGCATGTTTATCCTAGAAGTTAACAGAAAGTATTGGCAAAGTACACAGAACTCCCTGAGCTATTCTTTTCATGTAGTAGCATCATATCCTCCAAATTTCATCAGTAAGCCTCCTCCAAATTTCACCAGTGAGCTAAGAAATCAATTAATTTATTTATTTTTAATTCCCTTTGCCTTCATTGATAATTGAGAATGGTGTAAATATGCCTGTCTATGGAGATTATCAGCCATCCAAATCATGGTTGTCTCAAAGGTAGTGGAAGATTAAGGCTCACTGGTGCCCTAAGCACTTACAAATCTTGGTGCTCCTCCTTTGTACAAACTGTACAAATCTTCATTGGGTTTTTTTTAATCTCAATTTTGTTGTGCCCCCTTTGGGCCTGGTGCCCTCAGTGTTGTGGCCCAGCAGGAGCCGTTGGAGCTGCCACCAGACTCCGACAGCGCGGGGCCCTGAGTCAGCTCTGGAGGACCCTGGACAGGGTTTCGACTCCGAGCAGGGCACAGAGAGACTGGTTGGCCACCAGGTGCCTTGGACCAGTGGGGAGGAGACAAGTGAGAGTGAGCTGGAGGCCAGCAGTGAGTTGTTCCTGGATGCACTCCATCAAAGAGCTACTCGGCGTCAGGAAAAATTATGCAATTACAGGAGGTAATTGCGCTCAGCTGNAAAATGAGGACCCAGATTGTTGGGGGCAATAGGCTGACCCTGTAAACCGCTTAGAGGGGGCTGTAAAGCACTATGAAGTGGTATATAAGTCTAAGTGCTATATTGCTATAGCCAGGTCAGAAAGGCTCAAACTTGCTATAGTTCAGGGCACTGAGCAAGCATGTTTAATGCCTGGATTCATAGAGCGCTAACTCACAAACTGGCATAAAATACTGAACGGGCTACAATCACAGAGCATGTTAAGCTGATATCATGAACAGGGGGCTTTGTATAATGTGTAAGCATAGACAATGTGCTTTACTGTAAAAAGATATTTTCCGTGTGCTCCATAGTTAAGTTCCTGTTTGGTACAGAATCATTCAAGAAGCTGACATTCAGGGAAGGATTTTAATTGTTAATTGTCTTTTGTTTCATTCTCATTTTTCTTGTGTTAGTGAAGGGCCTGAGGAAGATGTGTAGAGGTACTATTGCAAACATATCTGCTTCTACTAAAACAAATTGTATCCATAGGAATTTGGTGGTGCGCTCCATTCTCTAGAGGAAGGTCTTGCCGAGATTCAGAGAACTGATACCAAAGTACAAAGTACCCTTGCTATCAAAAAGCAAAATTTACAAAGTGAAGAGAAAAAGCGGAATGAATTGGTTAAAGCCATGGAAGAGGTAAGCAATGGAAATGCTCTTTAAAATATACACTATCCCCCCCCCCCCGTACAATTATATTCATGATAAGCATATGTTTGAAAATATATAGTGTACTGTATACAAGTACTTCTACACTAGGATATCACAGTATTTTAAAAGTACATATAGTTTTCACTTAGTTCGGTAATCCTTCAAAGTTATGATGACACCAAAACAGGAAATTTTATGACTGGTCCTCAAAGATGTGGCTGTCACAGCGCCCCTCTGATCAAGTAATTGCGATTCGGTTGCTTGGCAACCAGTGTTCATGTACGGCGGTTACAGCATCCACTGTCACATGATCACCACTCACAACCTTCACAGTTGATTTCAGGCAAGCAAAGCGAATGGGAAAGCCAACCTGGTCACATGACATTGTGTTGTGGCCCAGCAGGAGCCGTTGGAGCTGCCACCAGACTCCAACAGCGAGGGGCCCTATGAGTCGGCTCTGGAGGATGAGGACCCTGGACAGGGTTCCGACTCCGAGCAGGGCGCAGAGAGACTGGTTGGCCCCCAGGTGGCGCCTGAACCTTGGACCAGTGGGGAGGAGACAAGGGAGAGGGATCCGGACGCCAGTAGTGAGTTGTTCCTGGATGCACGCCATCGAAGAGCTACTCGGCGTCGGGAACAATTATGTAATTACGGGACGTAATTGCGCTCAGCTGGTGGCCATTAGGCTCCTCTCCAGCCTATGAAAAAGACTGCTGGTGACATGCCCCTCTTGCAGAAGTCAACACATTGACTAAAGAGAACGTAACTAACTTGGCAGGCTGGATTGCTGCCAAGGTTTGTCTGACTTGCTGCCAAGGTCCTTATCTGTTTGCTTGGCTTTCAGCCACCGAGATTTTGGCTTCTTGCTATTAAAAGTACATTCTAGCTAAGCTTGTTTCGGCTTTCGTTACTGGACAGGAGGGGGTCAAAGCACATTGTATTTAATGACCTACAGCTGAAACGGATACAACTTGGCACAGTCATGTGACGTTTTACTTTATGACCACATAAATGAACTTTATGAACACGGTGAGGCTTATTTCTAAATAATTATATGTAGATGTGATCTAAACTGCAGAAAAGCGCCAAAACAGCCCTGGATTCAGGATTGGCCAGCCAAATTAATTATTCCTTTAGGATTACTGTTGTTTTAATTCTTGACTTTCATTGGAACTTTATTATGGGATAAAGTAGGTTTGCACTTAGCTTTTCTTATTAATTTGTATATTTTTTTCCTTTTTTAAATTGGCCTTTTAATCATACTTCTGTTTTGTTTTAGGATTCTAAAGCTTTAGCTTTGAAGGAAAAAGAAGTGAAGAAGTTGAGTGATGCTTTGAGTGTTCTTCAAGAGGAAAACAATAAAGACACTCAGGCTCTGGTTGCAGCACAGCAGCATTTCAATGCAGTGTCAGTTGGACTGTCCAGCAGTGAAGATGGGGAAGATGCTACTCTTGCTGGACAGATGATGACTTGCAAGAATGACATAAGCAAAGCAGAGACAGAAGCAAAACAAGTAAGTAATAAATGTGTGTCTCTGGGCAAATTGGGTGCACCATATGATTCAAATGCCATGTACAGATAGTCCTTGTCTTACTATCGTAATCTCCTTTTAATGACCCCATAATCCCTTGCGGGGTGGAGTCTGGGCAACTGAATGGAACTAGCAGAGTGTTTTAATGGCTGGATGCCCTTCCTGTCGCCAATGTGGAGTTTTGTTCGGCAGATACATTCTCAGTGTGCCCAAAGAGAGGAATATCTGCCCCTACCTAGGATCGAACTCACAGCCTTCTGATTGTGAGGTGAGAGCTCTACCTCTAGGCCACTTCAGCACTCTGTCTTACGATCATAATGGAGCCCAAAATTTCTGTCATAAGTCATGACGGTAGTAAGTCACATGACCAGACACTTTTATGATTTCTTTGCTGTGGTCATTAAGTGAATACAGTTGTTGTTAATGGAATGCTGTGGACATGAAGCAAATCTATGTATTCCTATGGGTGTTTTTTGTTGGAAACTTAAAAAAGGTCAGGAATGAGGGAAAAAAACATTGTTAATTGTGGTCTCGTGACCACAGAACACTGCAATCGGCCATAAAAGTGAGACCGTTGCTAGTGTCCATCAGAACTCTAAAATTGGGTTGTCAGTAGCTTTTGGGTGGAGGGGGTCTGTCATAACTTCAAATAGTTAAGTGAGGAGTACCTGTATCAAAAATAACTTAAACACTATTGTGAGCTGTGGGATTTCAACTCATGAAGTCAGATAGTTGACTACAAAAGCAGTGATAAAAAGAAGTATCTGGAATAAAGAAGGGATTGAAGAAGAGGGTTTGTTTGTTTTTTGGAATCCAATATATATTTTCTGCATTAAAGATGAGCTTTTTTTCATCTTCTATTATGGGCTCTCTTGAATTTTAATTTGCTGCCATGAATTCTACACCTCTTCCTAAGTTCCATTAATATGCTCCTAAATAGCTGGAAGAGAATGTAAATATCATTTTTTAAAATGTTTTCTCTCGTTACATCAGGACATTTGAGCCAATGTGTACTACTGTAAAATATATTCTGCTCTGCCTACATTCATTGGTCAAACCCTAAAAGCATCCATTTTCTAAATTGCCATTTGTTAAAAATTGCAATAAGGGAGAGATTCATAGGCACAATGGTCCCCATCAGCCTTCCCTTGACGATTGCATGTTAAGAACATTCTTAGCAATAGTCACTTTCTCTGATTAGATATTAATATTTGGCCCCATTCCTGATTCATTCCCTCTTGACCAGATTGCCAAGGATTACAATTGAGGATTACAGGTGGAGAAAGAAGTTGGCTGCCCAAATTGTTCTCTTGGAAATCATTGTTTCCTTAATGTGGAGTTGGGAAAACATTATATAACCATGATAGCGAACCTATGGCACACGTGCCACAGGTGACATGCAAAGCCCTCTCTGCGGGCACCCCAGCTCAGCTCCATTGCACATGCGTGCATGCCTCCTGCTGGCTAGCTGGTTTTCGGGTCTCTGCAGCGCATGCGTAGGGGCAGGCGCATATGGGAGACTGCAGGCGCATATGGGAGGCGCATATGGGAGACATATGTACATGTATGGGGAGTGTCAGCCCTTCTTCATTCAAAAATCAGGAAAGAAAACCACAGGACTCCATTGATAGAAATCAAGTGTACTTTTACTAATTATATTGTATGTATATGTATGTATGTATATGTATATGTATGTATGTATATGTATATGTATGTATGTGTATGTATGTATGTATATATATACGTGTATATATATGTGTGTGTGTATGTGTATGTATGTATATATGTATGTATGTATGTATGTATGTATGTATATATGTATATGTATATGTATACGTGTATATATGTGTGTATGTATGTATGTGTATATGTATATGTATATACATACATACATACATACATACATACATACATACATATATACATACATACACATACACACACACATATATATACACGTATATATATACATACATACATACACACACATACATATACATATACATACATACATATACATATACATACATACATATACATAT